ACCACTAAACTTCATTCTGTTTGTTTCAGTTAGTCATCCCCACATTCCAACATGACTTCTTGAATCTTAATTCCATTATCAATCATATTAGCTACTCCTCCCAGATTGGTAGCATGCACAAATTTGATGAGTGTTTTCTATTTTTATCCAAATAATTGATCTCACTTTATCACAATAAATCTCTTTCCCAAAGGATAAAATTCCCTTCCTCATTTCTACAACTTTTCCTTCTTCCTGGTTTCCTGGTTCCATGTTACTCAGTCCTGTCTTCTCCACATCTTCTCTGTTCCCGCTCCACTCATGTTATTCATATCCTAACTTCAGAATTATCTCCTCCCCCCTTATATCCACCTTAAAGACAATGCCCTGGACCTTGCTAACATCCTAGTTTATTTTCTTCCTTTCACAGGTAAACTTCTCCAATGTACAATTTGCATTCTCTACTGATGTTGAGTTAGCAATTTGTCCACGTGGTCCTCAAAAGCCCCCCTGACAACATCTTGCTGTAGCTGAATAGCAGCTGCCTTCTCCTGACAGAGCCTCATTCTTATTCTCACCACAGGTCCCGTTGTCTTACTCCCAACCTGTGCCATTCAATGAGTTTGTGACCCTTCTTTGAAGTTAACAAGGCTTTTCTAAACAAATACACCAAAGCCACACCACATGAGTCCTTCAGAATCGTCATTGTTTCATAATATGCATTTGTTCCGATGTATGACCATTGCCTAAAATATTTTAGCAATCTGTCTATTCTGTTTAAGTTTAGTCATAGCAAATCTTTCTTTCTTGAATGGAATATTTAAATTCATATTTTAAACCAAAGTTATTTGAAAAGGTGGGTATTTTAATTTGCTAATCATGCTTTCAGTGATAAAAAAAAAAAGAGAGAGTAACTAATTTACATTGTAAAAAAAATTACCTTGCAAAATTGCTTTAGAGAGCAATTCTAAAAAAAAATAAAAATATTATTTGAGTATCATAGTTTTGTTTTTTTTTTACAAGAAACTAGCTTGAAGATCAACAATCCTTTTAATGTATATTGTTTGGTTTGTTTAAAAATAAAGTCTCTTTACTTACTTAACTGGAATCATAAAACTCCACCCCCAACTTCCCAATGACAACTATTAAGGGAATTGAGGAGAAAAAGGCCTCTGATCTAAAAATGTACCAGTCCCAATAGGCCTTGGCATGGAGTTTATGAAGCTAAGGGAGCAATCACTGAGAAATGCATGGCCTGGTAACTGAGTGATTCATATTGCCAGAGGCCCTAGAATGATCACTAAAGGGGAGGCAGGATAAAGAAAGGGCACTGACACTGCTCTATATTTTAATTTGAAAAATCATATTTTTATTGTGAAATACAATGAACTTTGAAAAGTATGAAGCAGCTAGGAAAACGTTTTATCTGTTCTCTTATGGATATTTAATGTAAAGTATGAAATGATGGAACTGACCTTTAGGCATGTCATGAAGGATCTCTCTCTCTCGATGGAAAAGAGAGAGGAGAAAAGAATTGATGTTCACACAATAATGAAGACAATGGAGACCCAAGAGAGCCAATGGTGCAGTTCCAGTCCAATTTAAAGGCCTGAAAAGCAGAATAGCCCATAGTGTAGGTTTCAGTCTGAGAGCCAACAGGCTTGAGACCCAAGAAAAGCCCGTTTTTTAGTTCAAATCCAAAGACTTGAAAAGATAAATGTCTCAGCTTAACCATCAGGCAAAAAGAATTCCTCTTACTCAGTATTTTCGTTCTATTCAGGTCGTCAACTGATTGGATGGGGCCCACCCACATTAAGGAGGGCAGTCTGCCTTACTCAGTCTACTGATTCAAATATCTGAGTATTCAAAAATACTCTTAAAAACACACTCTGGTTAATGTTTAACCAATTGTCTGGGCACCCCATGACCCAGTGAAGTTGACACATAAAATTAACGATCACAGTACTTAAAGTTTATTTATTTTTATTTTTTTAAATATGGATTTCTGACTTTTCTTGGCATCATTTAATTTGTATGGCAGCACTGGAAACTCCTTCCCATGGAGTAGCAAAAGGATGGAGATGGGTAGAGGTTGTCACAATCCCCAACATTCACTTGATTTTTCTGGCTTGCCTCAGCACACATTTCAATTTGAGACCCATTAGTTTAAGCTGTATTGCCTATGAAAGCTAATGTTGGTCTTTGGGAAGGGTGTGTGTGTGTGTGCGCGCGCGCGCATGCACGCACGCATTCCAATAGTGATTATTTTAGACAATGAGAAAAACTAAGAGGCATATACATACATTAAATTGATGGAAAGACATCAAAAGAGAACTAAAACCAAGGTGCACAAGGCCACCCCAATTAGTTCTAAAGGGTTTGAAATACCAACCTCCTTCTGTCCTCTGACTATCCTGAGGTGCAGAGAGAAACAAAAGCCACCCCAGATTGTCTTCCTGGAACTCCTGGGGTATTACTCTAGACTAAGTAATGCAGCCACAAGAACGTGTTATGTTGGGAAAAAGGAAATAGATCTTGAGAAAGGATAATAAATCCTAGAGCTTTTGCATTGACTGAAATAGAAGTGATTCTGAAAGCAAATAAATACCCTAAGAGGTTGGTTACTATGCACATTTTTAAAACATTGATTTCTCAATCCTTAATTTCAGATAAATATTGGCTGTTTCTTAATGCTAAGAGGCATAAGTAAAGATTAAGCACTGAACCAGAGAGCAGCTTTGGGCTAACGGGAAAGAAATTCAAACTCCATTTCAAAGTGTTCAATCCAAGCACTGAATCAATTCATCAATGGTTTCTACCTATCTGGGCACCTAGGTTCCTCTAATGCCTCCTCCCACTATTCACCAGTAACCTTTCAGATGAACTTTGATACGCTTCATTTTGACTCTAGTAGATTCTAAGTTGCTTTGGGGGGGAAGGGGAGGCATATCATATTATTCTAGTCCACATAGCTCTTAAGACAGGATTTTCACATAATAGTGGCTCAATTAACATATATTACATGAAGGGATTTAATTCCTTTATATA